TGAATCAAGCAGCTGAGAGGTGAGTCTATATAAAGTACTCAGGACTAATGAGTTCCGAGGGATCCTCGTATCGGGTCCAGACCCCTTAATGCTGCTGATTCAAGTGGTGGGTGCAGGTAATCACCAAGATAACCCGAGGCCTCTGGGATCATTACTGCTTTATCACATTTTGTATGAAATATTTTCGGCCTCATTTAGGATGTCAGCCTCCATCAAATGCTTCCTTGTGTTAAGCGTGTGACACAGCCCTAGAGCACCAGAGTACCTGGAACCCTCGCTGTCCTCTCCTGGCCTGGTGCACCTGGAACCCTCATGTCCCGCTGGGAGAGGTATTTGGAGCACTCAGGACCCTCTTAGGGGGCCGCAGCACCGAGAAGGACATTTGTGAATAATGTAAGAACAAACGTACAGAGCCCATGTTAGCAGGACATAGTGACTGATTCCCAACATCTGTTATTGCTTTCTCTCATCTGCACCTGAAATTAGCAATTTAGAGCCCATACCTTTATTTGGAAAATAATAGTACACACAGAATTATAAAAGTTTAATACGCTCTCAGTAAAATGAAAAATGAGCAGTTATGATATTGTCTAACACTTTCAAATGTGTTTATTAATTCATGTTTTAAATCATAAGTTTCGTTCTGCAGGAGAGTCATACACAGCAATAAGCAAGTTTTAAAATATTAATGAATAAACAATATTTCTCTATTGAAATATAACATGCTTCTTTGAACAATGTACCAACGGTAATAAATCACAACCAGCAGAAAATTGCATTTCATATTTAATACAACTTGAACTCTGCCTTTTTATAAATGATATCTTTTTTGTTTAATTGGCGTCAGTTCAGATCTAGCAGATTGCTAATAAAATTCTGGATTTCCATATTTAATGACGCGTGCTTTTTATGCTGAATTTTACCACAAAAAATGCAGCCTTTTATTATCGGAATAGCAGCATTAATAGGTGATCTCCCACCATGGGCAACGGCCCCGTCTGCTCTCCTGAAGCCTCCTCCAGGCTGGGGTGGCCACGTGCCACATCCCTCCCAGAGGTGGCATCCCCGGAGAGTTGAGGATGCCAGGGCAGTGGGAGGAGGAGGAGAAGGGCCCCTTCCCCTCTGGGAGGGTCCCTGTCCTGGAGCTGTGCTCCTTGGGGATGCCTCTGGGTGCCCACCCACCCCAGGAACAGGGGCTCACGTAGGCAGGGAACCAGCACACACGTCAGCACCCCCGTCAGCACCACAGAAAGGAATGAAAGTAATTGGGTTTAATTAGCCTGTGTAAACACGATCCTTAAATTTGTTGCCACATGAGGGTTTTGGCAGTCTCCAATAAATTAATCCTTTTTATTATATCAATGACAGGAAGATGATCAAATAGGCTTTGATATAGATTTTGGGATTTAGCACCTAGTAGCGCTCTGACATGCTTGAACTTCTTCCTCCTGCTGCTGCTGCTGGAGGCAAGAACGAGGCTACAAACGGCGTCTGCTTCCGAGCTGCTCCCAGGCGGAACGGGGGGCTCGGAGACACACGGATGGGGACACCAGGGAAACTTTGAAGAAAAGTTTGTCTTCAGGATTTGTTGGGTAAGTTGAGTTTCCAGAGGGTCGGGTCATGCAGGGAGAGATGTGGAGGCAAGGGGAACCTGGTGATGAGGCACAGCAATTAGTGTGGTGTGTCAGTGCCTCTGCAGCCAGAGGCTGAGTAAAGTGAGAGCACGGCCCTGGCTCCCCTCCGTGCTGGGGCACACAGAGCCTTCGTCCAGCCCCCCTGCACATCATTCCTCCCACTGTGCCAAGCCCAGGGAAACGGGCTCTGCTGGTGCTGCAGGACACGGGGCACAGCTCTGGCACAGCTCTGGTGCCTGTGCTCTGGCACGTCACAGCTGATTTCCCAGGTACTGCCGGGACACAGCCCAGACCCGGGGCTCGGCTGCCAGCAAGGATTGTAATGCTGGCTCCATCCTTCACTCTCTCAGCTGCAGGAAGGAACCAGAGGCTTTATATTTCAGGGAAGACAACTTCGGTGGCAGACGGGCAGCCCGGGGTGCCCAGAGAACACAAGGGGCCCCACATCCCACCTGGGAAGGCCAAGAGGCTGGTTCAGCTGCTGTGCCATCCCAGGTAACCCCCTCTGCCCTGGGCATGATGGCCAGGGAGCTGCCGAGCACAAAACCTTCTCCTGCCTCTGCCACCAAGGGAAGGATCACTGGATGGGAATTCTAATCATATATTATATTACCGTGTCATATTAGACTAATAAAATCCTAATATGATACAGGAATGGGGAGCATATCATAACTCCTCTGTGGCTAATACAATGCAGGCAATAAATCACTCCAGGGCTTATCCTTAACAATTGTATCAGAGCTTTCTGTGTCACGCTGATAACTCAGTCCCTCTGATCTAATGGTTCACTTTTCTTCACAGTCCATATGGCAGTGACATTAAAGCTAATGAAATAAAATAAAATTTGCCAATCTTTGAAGAATTCCATTCTTTAAAAAGATGTATTTTATTAACACAAACTGGAAACATCTTCAGTTACTTGCAGTTACTTTTATCACATTGGAAATACATGGCACAGATATTGGCCCTGGCATGGCACACCCAGCTCGTGTGTGGCCACATCACTGCAGGATCACAGCACGGCTCAGCCTCACACACGGAGTGCCAAGGCAGCAGAGCTGCCCCCACTGCCCCAGTCCCAAGGGGTACAGATCCCACAATGCCCCAAGGTCACAATCTCCCCGACTCTTCCCTTCCTGGGCTGAGGATCCCTTGTTGCATCCAAGGCCAGATACACAGGGAGTCGGGTGCAGGGAGAGGAGCTCATCACCTGCTGCTCTGTTGGCACATGAAGGATTGCTGTTCTTTGGGGGGCTCTGTGGGCTGCTCCCATGGCCACAAACCTGGTGCCTTTGCCAGAATGCCAGGCCCTGTGTCTCCCCGGCTGCTGGACTTCTCCTGGGCCCTCCTTCAGGACACCCCAGAGCAGTGACTGTGCTCCACCCCAAGTGTGGCAGGTCAGACAGAGCTGGGGCTGGTTCCAGAAGTGGCCAGTCGAGTGGTACCCAGGGGAGCACCGTGGGTCTCTCCTCCAGACACCCTCGTGCTTGTCCCAGTGACAGGCACCTTACTCAGGTCAGTGCCAGGCACAGGAGATGGCAATTCCTGGCACCTGCTGCAAATCCTCCATTTGCTCCTGCCGTGCTCCACACGGGGTCTCTGGGCTGGCACCTGCCAAGGCTGGTGGGAGCCATGGCCACAGGGCTGGTGGGCTTTGTTCAACCCATGGCTCCGGTTGCAGGGCTCACGTGTGCCAACAGCTCAGCCCTGGGGACAGGGAATAAGGATGGTGCCGCTGAGCAGTCGCAGGATGGGAGAGCAGAGGGTCTCCTCCCCTGGCGTGAGTCGCTGTTCTGCACAAGGCTCCGATGGCCCTTCAGGGTGTAGCTACCAGGTGAAACACAATATACCATCAGCAGCTTGATCCTAGTACTGGTGCTGGCAGTAAACCTTCCTGATGAGTGATCAGGCCTCAAGGATAAGATGTTTATTATTTGCCGTGGAGCCACGTGTCTGTTCTCCAACATAAGGAAAGGCCAAATTGCACTTGTAATTCAAAGGGACCCAAAGCCTTAATGCTGTAAAGCAGAAGCTAATGATGCCCAGCGGGCGTGGGGCAGGCAAGGGCGGCCCAAAGGTTGTTGATGGCCTTCCTATGAACCTCCTCAGTGTGTGACAGGTCCTTGCCTGTGGCCAGCAGAGATGTGATCAAGATGAGGGACGTCTGAGTGTTCATTACGCTGCCTACTATGCCTCCACTGACATACTTTACATTTAAAATATAAAATACCATTTCCATTGGGATGGAGCACAAACACTGAGTGCGTGGATTTCGGGAGCTCCATTAGCAAATGCAAATTGTTGGGTGCTTTGTCCTCAGCACGCAGAAGTCTTCAGCAGTTCACAGTCCCCACGTGCCCCAGCTCTCGTTAACGAAGGCTTTGCAATGCACATCTAGTTATTTACTTGTTTGTTTAAATGCACCACCTGTAACAGAAGAAGCAATGTTCAATTCCAAACCTGACTGAGGCGAGTCTGCTCCACGAACAAGAGCAGCAATGGTGCACGAGAGCATGGGTTGCAGAGTCACCACAGTCCCAGCTAGAGAGCCGCTGAACAAAGGTATTTGACCAAATAACCTGATACAAGAATTGTTGATAAGAAAAGCGGAACCACAAGCTCATTGAATCATGCAAATCATCATTTGGCCACCAAAACACCACCTGAAGGCTTGAAGAGCTAAGAGAAGGGAAGGTGAGGGCCAGTGGCTCCTCAGAGACAGCCAAGCTGTGGCTCCAGCCCGGCAGGGCTGGCAGTGGTGAGCTCCTCCTGCCTCGCTGCACTAACCCAAGTAGTGAGTAGTTATATTTATCAAAGACCATTTGCTGCAAGTGATTAACGTTAATTTGATTTCCTGTGAGTCAATTTCCTTGAGATATGGTAAATAGGCTATTACCTGTTATTGACCTTTACTTTATTAAAAAGACTTAAAATTAGCATTTATATATATACGTCCTTCCAAAAAAGTTTTTTTAATAAAGAAAAATATTTTTATAATCACATTAGACTTGCTAGCTGAGGCTGTAGCTCCAAAGTTAATGTTAAATAAAAATGGTAATTAAGAGTGAATATGATGATGGTTTTTAAACTCATCTAAAGGCCTGACCCCTTCCTTCGCCTCCACTTGATTTGTGGCTCCTGAGCAGAGCAGGGTGGCAGGGGAGGCAGGGGCTGGTGGGTGGAAGCCTCTGCCCAGGACGTGCCTCTCCCAGGATTTCCAATGCTCTCCGGGCAAGAGGACACAAGGACCTGCTGGTGTTTAAAGAGATGCTCAGCTCCTGCTCCATGCCCAGCTCGCTCTTCTGGAGGCTGACACATCTCTTCGGGCTGACTTGAACTGAGCAGGAAGAAATAACGTCAACGTTCGATCATGAAAGCAAAAAGTTTATTCATGTTTGAAACTACATATAACTACCACGAGGAAGACTTTTCAATCCAGGGTGTAATCCAGTTAGAAAGTAACACGAAACGGTTTAATACATTAGAATCACTGCCACAAATTATTTTCATGACTCAATCAGTTTCAGAATCGCATACAATACAAAAGAGAGAGAGAAAGGGCCCCTGCGACCGAGGGGGATGTACAGTACCGAATACTGAAGTCTGTATGCATTACAATTAGTTGTTGGTTTTTGCGTGGATTAGTAACAAGATGAAGAACATTCAAAATGCTTCTCAGTATTTACAACAGTTGCACTGTTTTGTGTCCAACCTAAGACCCCATGTTTCCACTTCCGCTTCTTTAGCAGTTGCCAAGGCAACCCTGATTCGTAGGAGATTACAATGTACATTACATTTCGTGGGGAAACAAAGAGTTAATTACAAGATGCAAAAAGATAAGAAAGAGACAAACTACAGCGTGAGTATCGTTCAGAGGTAGTAAGTGAGCACTCTAAGCTACAGAACATGTTGAAAGTCTATTGGTTTGTATGAGTTCGCATGAGGTAATAAAGCTGTGTTTGATTGGTGAGATGTATAAATACTCTTTTGCTACACTATGTACAACACTCCATATCACGGTGCTTTTTCCTTTCCTTTTCCTTTGTTTGTGTTTTGCTGCCAAGCAGAGGCACCAGCCCTTGGCAGGCGTGGCAGCGTCCAGCTCGTACTGTAAAACCCCGGGTCGTGGCGTGCACAGAGACCAGCAGCAAGAGTCGTCATCTCCCAAGAACAACCTGCGTCCGTGTCGGGGTACAGAAAGGAGACTCGGGGTCCGGGGGGGCTTTAGCAAGAAAAGATGATCCTGGTTTCCAATCTAATTTGTAAGACAATAGATCACAACAAAAATGTGACGAATAAGGATTCTTAAACACAACCATTGTTAACTGAAATAACCGAACAGCTCTTTTTATTCCAGCTCTGTGAGAGATATGAAAAGATGAAACACAATCAAAGTCTGCGATTCCTGTCAACTTCCCATGGAAATATGCACACAGTTAAATTTGGGTGAGGCGGTTCTTTGTGTCTGCTCTTGCTACTGAGGTTAAGCTTGTCCTGTACTTTTACCCTTAAGGCCAAGTAATTGGCAACTGTTAGACCAACATCGTTAAAACTGCTGATAATAAATTATGATAAAATAGTTACAGGGCTATAAACAATGCTAAATCTTGGCCTAATTGGATAAAGTGCTTTTTAACATTGTGTGTTTTAAGTATAAATACAAATGATTATGATACCTTTAAAAAACAGATTTACCAAGTTTTCTAATAAGACAAGGTTTTACAGTAAAGCTGTAGGTGGTTGGCTACAAAAAACTCTTTCCTTTTTCTCCTGCGACTCTGAATGCGCTAATCAAGGCATCTCAGCTCAGGGAAAAAGTGTTGCTAGGAGATTAGTTAGAGGTATCCGAGTGCACACTTCCCGGCCCTTCTGTAGGGGAAGTCACAGAAGATGGAGTGGTTGCGTCCTGCCAGCCTCCATTAGCCTGCAAAGGCAAAAACAAGTCAATTGATACCATTGCACATATTAATTACACCGTACATGCGAGTGTGGGGCTGGCCAGCCTGGGGGCTCGGGGAGATGCTCCGGGAAGGGGATTTTCCTGCACTCTCTCTGGCTGCAGGATCTGTGCTGGCAGCATAAGGTGCGGGATGTGGGATGAGCAGGGAAAGCAGGAGCGTTCAGCCAGATGTTGGCTGCAATCAGGACTGTGGAATTTCTGCAGAGACCATCCGTGCTCTAATGAGGAACATCCCTTCACCAGCACTTCAGCTTTTTCCCCTGAGAAGACAAGCCTGGGGCAATCCACGTTTAACCCCCGCATCTCCCCTTGCTTCCCAAAGTTCGGAATGGCCTTTCCCCGCCGGACCCTCCGCAGAGCTGCCCCACCCGGCTCCCTGCACACGCTCCCCCAGCTCCCCAGCGTGGGTCTGCGGGGCGGAAAGGGGCCGTTTGGATGGGTTTTCCATTATCTCCAGAGGCAGCCCCGTTCCAGCCCTGCTCCGTGCCTGCGCCGCCGGCCCTCCCGCCTCAGACCTGCATCAGCACGAGCAGCGCTCAGGAACAAATTTGCCTTATGTCTCGGCCAATCGAGGCAATTGCTGGAATCAATGTCTGATCAGATTTCGGCTGTGGCAGACAGCTTGTCGCTACATATTTTTATGTCAGTCAAGAAGAGGGAGGCGCGGGGCTCGTGAGTTGGGGGACGCTGAGTGGAAGTGACGGGGAGGCCTCTGCAGCGCCCGCGAGAGCCGCCCCGGAGCCCCCGGCCCCGGCAGGGAAAGGTTAGCGGGGAAATGTGCTCGTGGTGCTCCGGTACCGGGACCATCCACGGCCGGGCCAGTGCCCTGGGCCGGGGGACACCACGGGGACGTGCAGGGAGCCCCCGGCTGTCACCCCTTAAACCTCACAGCCGGCCTGGTTCCACGCTAGGAACACCGTTCATCTATCACAACAAGCCAACGCTGCACGGCTGCACCGGGGGAGAGCAGCCTCCGTAATTATCTCCTCTGCAGACGAAACAGCAAACAGAGCAGCTTTATCCTGACAAACCCTTAAGCAAAATTAACAGCAACACCAACCTGCACGACCCCAAGGCTGAACCCTCCCAACACCCCTGCGCTGCTCAGACAGACTGAACAGGCACAAAGCCTGCTCTGAATGTGGAGGCACCGCGGGTTTTTATTTTGTAAAGATACGAGAACCTACTTAGGGAAAGAAAAACTCTTGTGCAGATATGAGTCTAAAGATATTCCATCTGAAGTAAACATCATTCCTCTTTTATCCAAATTTATAAACAACAAATGTACAATATTTTTACTCAGCTTGGCAGCTGGAGGAGAGGTTGTCAGCAAGCATTCTTTTTTTCAAATAAATTAATCCTTACTCTGGTGGTTTGAGATTATGCACTGTATTATACAACAGCGCCTTATCAGGCCTCATCAGTGAAGATGGAATTCATGTCTGTAAAATGCTGCAGGCAATCACAGTTTCATATTTTATCATGTTGATAAGGATATCGCAAATTCTCTGAAGCATTTCAAAACACTTAAATGAAAAAGGAGAAATGCAACTAAAAGGCTTTTTATATGGTTTGTTGTGGGTTATTATGAGTTATTTATAAACCCAAAAAGAAAGATTTGACATTTCAAATGTAAAAGATTTGAGTATTTAATGGTACTTTTTTCCCTTTACAATTGAACATCTTCAATCACATTTTAAATCATTAATATTTACTCTCATGGCAAGTGGCAACCCAAAACGGGGGGAAAGCCTCCCCCTCCCTGTGGCTGCAGCAGCTCACCCTGGGTGTCCCCATTTCCCTTCTCCACAGGTTCCTGAGGCTGCTCAGCACCCACAGCACAATCCACAGCATCTGGGAAACACCAGGGTGAACCCCAGGATGGGGGAGAGGGTCTCTGGACAAGGAATTCTCTACAGTAAGTTGAGAGTCCATTAATATGAAGGAAAACAAAGAAGAGTCACTTCTCAAGCAAATATGAAACATTAAAAAAAAATTAAAGCATTAATGGTTGCAGCTGTAACTGGGAGAAGCGAGCTGGGAATGAGGGATGAGCAGGCTCTGCCTCGGAGCCCTCGCCGAGAGGCTGCTCCCAGGGGTGCTCCAGCCTGGGCTCCCATGCCAAAGGAAGAACAGATCTCTGTGTGGAGTGTTCCAGCCTGGGCTCCCATGCCAAAGGAAGAACAGATCTCCGTGTTTGTTTATCCCGCGCCTTTCGCGCAGCCTCGGGCCCAGCCCGGGCACTGTCACATCCCATCGCTCACGGCCAGCGGGAGGAATTTGGCACCTATCACCATCAAGCCCATAATCCCTCGATTTACTGGCATCTGTTTGCCAGACTTACTGCTTGCTGCCATTTGGAGTAATAGGGCCAAAGGCACTTCTCAAACACAGGAAAAATGGGCACCCTTTAAATGGCCAAAGGTGTATCCAAGCCCATCAGAGCCGGTGCTGGTGCCTGACACAGGTGGGAACAGCCCAGCAGAGTCTCTGTCCAGCTGTTGGGCCAGGGAGCCTCCCCAAGGCTGTTAACTTTTAACTCATAAGGTGAAACATATAAAAATTCAAATTGTTTATAGTCACAGCTCTGCAATTTCTCTCTTCTTACACTAACAAGCCTTACAGCAGCACCAAGAGCTGTTCTGCGGTTCATCCCCAAAGATGTGATATTAAACAACACTATTGAAAGAGCAATTAATACAGGTATTAATGACTGCATTTACCTGCCACTGCACTTATGGCTCTCCAAACCACTGTTCCCCCGGGTACTCACATTTAAATTATGTGGACTGTACAGTGAATTTCCTCCCAAGCCATCATTGTATCCTCCCGTCTGATTGATAACATGACGCAGGGTATCCACCTTAAAGCGAGGGGAGACAGGATTCATCATTCCAAATCTATTAAAACATCATCACTTACAATAGGTAACATTTTGAATTATGTGAGCCAAAAGGGTTTAGCATCTTCTATGAAAGGCAAATTTATCAATCAAGACTGACTGGCAGAATTTCAACCAATCCACGCTCATTACAGCCCATACATCTCTGCTTCTCACACCACCAAACACAACTTCCTCCCAGCACCGTGGCCCGCAGCTCCTTCCCAAGTGTCTGCAAAGTGCTGGGAATGTTCACGCGCCCGTCTGTGCTTGCATGTATGGAGGAGATGATGGTGTGTACACAGCACAGAAACCATGGAGCCAGCCCTTCTGAAAGGACTGGAACAGTGACTGACAATCAGATGTATTGTAATAGCCCTTTCAGATGCATTCTGACATTTAAACAAATAAACAAATAGATGAATGAATTGATAAATAAAAGTTTGTCCAATAAATGAAAGAAAGGTGGGTTGTTTTTGTTTTGAAAAAAGGGGGCAGAAGGGGAAAGAAAGGAAAAAAAGAAAGAAACTTTCACTGGATTTACAGTGTCCATGGAAGTCAGACGCACCCAATCCCATTCCATGAGCTCAAGCCAGAGCCGAATGCATTCACAAAGCTTAAAATTTCAATCAGAAAAAAATCACTCTTTCCTTTATATTTGTGAAATTCAGTGCCAGGGTAAGAATAGGCCACATCCAGAAATATGCAGCCTCCTCTCTGCAGCGAGGCCCAGACCAGTTAATAGAGCCAGAGTAAGGCGGAATTTTTAGCCCAAACCCTACCCTGCCAGAAAGGCCCTGCTGGGGGCATTTCTCCTACCTGTGACTGCACATTGGCTCCGACTTGGGACCCCTGGTAAGAATCCCCATTCAGACTCTGCATGTTCATGAACATGTCCCCAGAATTTGGGAGGTTAAAAGAACCAGAAGAACCTGGAAAGGAAAGAGTTAGGTAGCTGAATAACAGAGAGCTGCAAAAACATAACCCCAGGACCTGAGGGCAAGGGAAGGAGAAGCAGCAGGAGAAGAGAGGACAGGCAGGGCTCAGCAGAGGGGGAGCGCGGCCGAGGGGCCCTCACAGCGGCTCGTCCCACGGGGCTGCCCCAGCTCTCAGCCCTGCAGGAGCACCATGCTGGGCAAGCCTGGCAGCCCCAGCAGCCCAGGGCAGCTCTTCCCTCTGGAACAGCCGCCTGCACAACAGTAAGTTCCCATCCTGGAGCTTTCCCCCACTGGATCACTCCATCGTGAGGTGCCATCACCAAACACTCATTTTGAGCCTGTGCTTTGTGTCTCCTTCCAAAGGAAATGGCTGGCAGTTCCCAATTATCCAGTTTATTACCGTCAGAGGAGGAACCTTTTTCTTACTTCCTTTTGGTTAAAGTCTTTTTTTCCCCATGGATCTCCATCCCCTTTAAAAGTTGTTTATAGCTAAGTTGCAGCAAAACTCGACTGCAAGTAGTGTCAGACACATCTGTGCTTGTGGCAACCTTTGCCCCTGGAGCCCCAGGAGGCAACTCCTCCCTCACAAACTCCCTGGCTAATGCAGTGCTCAGACTTGCAAAATGTCATCAAAACACCAGCGAGATGATGCTTAAATACTGCAGCAGAACATGTGGCAGAGCAACTCCAAAATAAAGTTGCATCCTTAGATTTCTATTTATAACATCCACTCCACTTCAAGCAATTCAGAGTTTAAACTCTAATTAGCGCATGCTAAAATATTCCTCTATTTTGTTCTTATCTTGACAATAAATTTAACAGTTCTACAAAACCAGACTTGGAGCTCTGCCCTATTTTATGTTCTTTTCAGTGAATGAGAAAAAGCTTAAAATATCTACAGAAACAAAGAAGGTGCCAGAAGCCTGAGCCAGGCAGCCGTTCCCACTGTGGGAATTACATGGGCCCCACTCCACTCTCCTGTACGACTGTGGGAGCTCTGCTGTGGAACTCCTGGGGCCACCCACGGCAGTGCTCGGCCCCTGTGGTCCAGCCTGGAGGTCCTTGGGCTTGGCACCACTCCCTGTGCCACAATTAGGGCTGCTGAGGAGCTGCATCCTCCTCATCCCAACTGAGCCCACTAGGGCTCCATCGGGGGCCCTCGGTGACAGATGGCCCTTTGGGATGCTCAAACACATCAGATGGGTACGTACCAGAATTTGGTGTGGTGGGGGAGTTGGTCTGGTTGTTCTGGACAGCCGCGGCCACGGCGTGCGCTGCGGTCACAGCCGTCTTTGCTGCGTAGAGATTGGCTTCTTCCTGGAACTTCCCAATGTTCTTCTTGTACCTGATTCTCTTATTGCCAAACCAGTTGGACACCTGCAGTGGAGAGAGGTGGGAAGGGTGAGGGACACGAAGCGCTTGGCTTGGAAGAGCAGGATGTTTTCGAGATGTCATGTTTGGACCAGCAAACGTGTGCCCCAGACCCCAGCCTGTATCTGCTCAGCACTAACCCAGGATGAGTTAAACACCACTATGGATGTGTGCAACATCTGGCTCCACTGCTCTGTTGGCAAACTGAGGCACAATGGGTGACTCTGACAACAACACGTATCCTGGAGCTTGCCACTGAGCACACCATTGTCTCCTACTACCATGGGCCATTTGTCAACAAAACTGTTGCAAGACCCCAAAAGCTGCTCATGGAGGACCAAGGTCTGGTTCAGCGAGGGCGAGCAGGCAGCGAGACCAATTGTTCTTTATTTTTGGGCTGGAACAACCTTGGCAGCCCACTCACAGAATCGTGTTTGGTTGGCTGAAAATGAAAGGGATCATATAAATCAATAATGGCTGAAAAGTCACTTTGTCATGTCCCTTTGAAGATGCTGTACTGAAGCCAAGCTGGCTCCTGGGGCACCGGCTATTAACCCACGCAGGGGTCACGGCTGGAGCCGCTCAGGAAAGTTTGTACAATCTTGCTCAGGGGCTTTGTTTAACTTCAGCTGCTGTAACAGAGCACCTAAATAACAAACGCAGTTTGGAACACGGACAACAGCCATCATGGCAGAGACACAAAACAACTGCAACAATCCAGCAGTAAAGGGGAAGGGACCAGTAACAGCCCCACAATTATCACCCAGCTGCAGGGCATGGCAGGGGCTGAGGTCCTGTCCCAGTGCCCAGTACAGGACCCTGCTGAGGCAGGAGCCAAATCCCTCTGTATTTGATGCAGCGCAGCTTTTGTTTAACCACAATTAATGGAAAGCCTCTAGCTTTTGCTGGTAGCACAGAAGGCACCTTATACATCCTGCTCCCCAGATAATACTCCACTGTATTCTATATATTGCACTTAATATCACCTTGTCAGTCACAGAAGCAATAATACATTAATGAAACCCAGCAAATAATTATTGTGTACAATCAGATTATGCTTTATTAACAGTATCATAATTGAGGAATCTCTGCACATCAACCGTATTGTCCACGGATGTGTGCAAGACCCCTCTGTTTATGCACGCCCCTGGACCAATCAAACAACAGCCATCACTAATAAAGGTTTATTTAATTCTCACAGTAAAATTTTAATATCACCAGCAGCCTGGGGAAGCCTCAATGCGTGGATTTGCTTGACATCAGATCGTTTTCATTCTGCTAGTCCCAATACTTCTTAATCTTTAATATCAAGGCAATTAAAATTAATGGCCACTCATCCAGAGCCACTGTGGGCAGTGTTTCCTTGACATCAATTGTTTGATGGGATTACCTAGAGGTTAAACTAACAAGCAAGGTTTAATTGGAAGCAATGAGAGGAGCAGCGCTCGTACGTTATGTTTAACCCGCACACCACAGCCACAGGAATATCCACAAATGTTCAACTCTTCCTGAGCAAAGCACACCCTGTGCTGCAGCAGAGCACAGCATGGGGGCTGCTGGAGGAGCCACAGCTCCCGGGGGCAGCTGCAGTCACCACCCCACTCCCTCTGCCCAAGGACTCTCCGTGCTCCCAGGACACAGGTCAGTGCAGGGCCCCGGCCTGGGGACACGCGGGGACAGGCAGGGCTGTGGCCACAGCCGGGCTGACACGGGCAGCTGGACCCGGCCAGGAGGGCTGGGGCACTGCTCCCGTGGGCTGTGCCAGGCAGGATTTAGGATCCCTGCCCAACTGGAGCACACCTTGCCCTGCTTGTGCCACTGGCACCCCAGGGATGACCAGGATGCAGCTGCTGGACCCCCGTCAGCCCTGGGACCCGGCTCCTCGCCCGGCCCTACGCTCACCCTAAACATGGAAGTCCTCTCCATCACAAGCTGCCTCACAACACATTTTTCATTAAAACAAAGTATCTCTTCACATAAAAAAAACAGTGAACATCTTTCTCCTCCTGATCATTGAAGGCCAATTAATTAATTGGGCTTAATTGTATATTACATTTCAAACAATACTGTTGCACTTATTTATCATGTTAATTGCAATGTTAAATAAAAAGACAATAAATTATTACTGAAATCATCAAGATGCCTAATGTGGGATTTGGGATGGGGCAGGCCTGCCTTGTGTCTCCACAGTGGCTGATTTCCTGGGATAAATCAGTGCTCATTCTGCAAAGATGCAGCTGACACAAGATCATCGCTGTTGGAATTAGGGAACTACAGATTCAGGATCACAGAAATCTTTCCATTGTGTTTCCATGTTTGTAGCACAGTTTACGTTCCACACCTAAAAAATGGCACAAACCAGAAAATGCTGAAAATCAGTGTGGCACAGTTATGGTCCATGATCTAAACCCAAGAATTTTTACCTCTAGAACTATTTCATTATGCTGCAGCTTTTTTTCCCTTGCTTCCCACATGAAGTCCAGGGGTAAGAGCCCCTCTATCCATGGCTCTCCCTGTCAACCTGCTCACAGAAACAGACTCGGAAGCAGCAGGGACCAGAGGGGTGCTGGAAACCAGCTCCTGCATCCTTTCTTTGAAAGAATGTTAAAAATATTCCCTTGTCAACCACATCCTTCTTTTGTTTGAAGCAGTGAAAGATGTTATTGCTGTACTCCACTGCCACGCTCTCAGCACTGGCTGTGCCCTCTCTCCAGCCCCTGTGATGGACTGATGGTCATTCACAACACCCTGAAAGAGGCTCATCTGCAAAAGTAAAAAACATCAGCCTCGCAGCCATGGTAGGGGAGAACAGATGACACAGTTTATCTCCCTCCAACATGTGCTGACGGGGTAGCTCTAAATTACAGCAATGTTCACTGCTAAGGACACTTTTTCCCCCAGAATTACCTTTTCCATATTCTTAAAAATGAAATTGTGTGAGGTGTTCATCTGAACAGTTTGTCTTTATGCTTTTCTTAAAAAGCCTTCTTTACATATTATTTTAAACACCAATATCAAAACTGAAAGCATTGATCTCCCATCTGCAACGAAACGGTTCTGGGAGACAATTTTCTCTGCAGTTCGGTAAAGTGCCATGGCAGCAAGATTTCCAGTGAGCAACTTAATCTGGGGGGAGGATGACCCAAAACACTCACTAATTAAGTGTCTGAGGGAGAAAATGTTCTGCCCCCAGCACTTACAAGGCACTGACAGTACAAGAGAAAAACACCCTGGATCATCTCTAGGAGAGGTTATGGAGGAGCCTGGCTCAGCCAGGGAAGGGACAAAGTCTCTTCATCAAAGCCGAGCCACCAGCCCGAGGAGTTTGGGAAGCCACCCATTAACATTATTTATTTCTTCCAGCTCTTTGCTCCTTCAGGGCATTTGCAGCATGGGAGGTAAATGGGACACAGTGCCAGACACAGCAAGGTCCGAGGGGCGCTTGGTCAAGGCTGGAAAGACACATGCTTAGAGATTTTCCAGGAAAGCCCTGAGGAAGGTGTAGCTCAGTCACTCACTTGGATGCCATTGCTTGTCCCCTGCGAGGCTGCTCCTGCCAGGGTTTCAATGACTGCTCAATTCCCTGAGTCCTGGACTGCATCTTCCTACTTCTGCTGCCTGCCACCAGAGCAGCGTGTGCGGGGCTGCTCGACAGTGCCTGCTCACAGCTTTTCTGCTACATGGCCTCAAAAATAGATACCCTTTTCAGTACAAGGAAAGACAACTCCAGCCCAGTTTGACCTAGAAAATACCAACTAACCCTGCAGTACCCCCATGAGGCCTTTGGAAGTGCCTTTGGAAATCAAAGATTTGGATATCCACGGTATTCATGTTCTCTAGCTTTGACAGCAGATCCATCAGGAACTCAAGCAACCAGCTGATCACAGGCACTCCCTCTCACAAATGCTCCTCTCCCATTAGATGATACATGGCCCCATTTCCAGGCTTTCCCATATCATCCTGAGGTTTCCCAAGCCATTTTTAACACCTTGACAGAGTGAAGCTCTAGCCCTTGCCAAGGCCCCAGCCCCGTGTCCCTGGTGCCCTTGCTCCAGGCTGGCAATGTCACCCAGCAAGGCTGAGGATGCTGGACACGGCGTACAGAGCACACAGTGCAGCTCCTCCCATCGCTCACTCAGGCTTTCTAATGGATTCAAGAAACAACTAATTCATGCCTGTATCAAATATTAAAGAGACAAACCTATATTCCTGTCACAGGCTCTCTGCCGCTGCTGTGTTGTTGGACCATCTGCCTGCCTTTTACTTCATTCTACAGCATATACATTAAATCTTATCAAACAATCAATTAAGAAAGAAATCAGATCTATTAGCACTAGAAGCAATCAGTTATGGCATCTCAAATGTTCCATCTCATTTCCTTTAGTCACTTCAGCCTTATCTAGATCTGTTTTTTTATCTGTCCACTCGGGATCACTAACCCCTTCCCTGCCAGGCCCAACTCACTGCTGGGTGTGCAGGGAACAGCTCCTCAGCAGGTCTGGTGGGCTCTTTCCCATGTCATCTCCCCCAGTTACATTTTACCAAAGCTGAAGAACTTTTGGTTCCTTCAAGTTGGTGTTGATGGTGTGGCCTCTCCTAACTACACGGCAGGCTGCCTCAGATCACATGGAAGATTTCTGGACACCACTTACTGAAGGAATTGCCACAAACCATCTCATGGCAAGGACTGAAACCAGCAGCAAAACGTAGGGCTGCAGCCCACAGTGTCCTGGCACTCGTGCTCTCGTGCTGTTTGGCTGGTTCCAAGCATCCCCAGCAGCCACAGGGATGCCTGAGGGCGTGGGAGAGCAGCCCAGCAGCCACCACAGCTGCCCTGCACCCGCCGGGGCTGCACTGACCTGTGTGATGCTAACAGTGATGAAGGAGCACTGTGGGAGGGAACAAGTTGCATGCTGAATTTCCCTCAAAAAATTCCTCCCCATCACCACAGCCATTTGTAAATGGACTGGGAGAAACTGTCCCCATCTCCATCCTGTACCTTCCCCTGGCACTAGGCACTTCCCACCCTGCTTGGAGAGCGGTACATGCTGTGTGCTGAGGAACAGGCAAGGAGAGAGGAGGGCACACACACGTGTCCTGAGGCAGTTCTGCCAATGTTGGTACTGTGGGTGCATCCAAAGTCAAGTAGTTCCAAATCTGGGAGAGCTGGGCAGCCTTTCATTTGAAAGACTTCAATAAAGTGCCTGAATTTTTCATGCATTCAATGGAGAGCTATAAAGTAAATCTCAACTCAGGTCTTAATTATAAAGCTAAAGGTTGCATTGCTAATAATGCCAATAGTGCAGCCTGTGATCATTAATAGTTAACATATGTGCCGCAGGCACCGCTCCTCTCAAGGACCTGAAATATTGATAAGGGAGCTGAGGGAGCAAGGAGGAGCCAGCACACAGGCCCTCACAACAGGAAGGGGGTGGCTGGAAAACTTGGAAACTGCTACCCAAGTTCAACCTTCCCCAAGCTGTATGAGCCAGATTTGTGTGGGAGTAATTGGGGTTTCTATCATACAGGCCACAAGAAATACAGAGGGTTTTGCTTTTGAAGCTGCCTGGTGAGGGAAGGCTCGACGGTGTCACTGGCCTAAGCACCACTGCGAGACATCAGTCCAAGCTCTGCGTGTACTTCAGCCCACACAGAAAGCAGCTGCAGCCAACGATGGTGCTCCTGACTGGGGAGATGCTGGTTTTCTTGCACTAACTTCACAGGAACAGCTGTTATATGTGGTAAAAAGAGCAAATCTGCCTAATGCAGTTTTGCTACACAGAAGCCACTCTTCAGCTTAGCAAGAGGCTGAATTTCTGGCTGGCTTAGAAAAATAACTTTGAGCAATCAAAGAAATTCTGATCTATAAAGACAGATTTTACATTTGTCAGTAAACTGCCTTCCCCTGAAACCATGGTCAGCTGTAACAAATTCAGAGCAGAGCCAGGCTCAGCCAGGAACCTCACTGCTGCACAGAGAGAAAGCTGACGTGAAGTAGGGTGCTGACCTTGTTGCCTTTTTATTTTTATCTTCCTCTCTGTACACACACCTTTGTACCCCAGCAGAGCCCCAGCCGCCGTGGCACAATGGCTGCAGAGCTCAGCCACGTCCATCACCCTGCAAACCTCATCACAGGCAACACACAAATCTGAAGGGATGACAGAGGTGCTTTGGGCAGGACCTGCTCTGTACTGCTTGGCTCCACTGGAACCACCTCCCAGAGCCTGGAGAGAGGTGGCAGCATCACAAGGGGAGCTGGGAGGTTGACACACTGTGAGGTGCAGGAGGCCAGGACCTGCTCCCCTCGCTGCTCACCTGCGATACCGTGATGCTGCATTTCTTTGCCAGCTCTTCTTTGGCTTCTTCACTGGGGTAGGGGTTACTGAGGTGGGAGTAAAAATACTCATTCAAGATTTCTGTGGCTTGTTTACTGAAGTTACGCCTTTTCCGTCTGAAACGAGAAAAGAAAACCCACAGTTGTTCCTCCAGATGCCAGCGGGTCCCTGTCAGGGTTGGATGGGGGGCAGTGGCCCTCGTTTCTCACGCCTGTGGTGCAGCACACAGAAACACAGCAAAACTGTCCCAGCACCCACCCTCAGCCACCCCAACACCATGGGAGGGAGCACAGGCTGCAATGGCATGTCCTGCACCCAGCTCTGTGGGTCTGGACTCTGCCTCTGGCTTCACACCTCTGACTCTCCCAGAGTTCATCCCATGAGGGCACAGGCCACATTCATGTGTCGTGGCAGCAGAGGTGAGGCAGATGCTGAGCCGGCAGCCTGCCTGCGGCTCCTCCACACCCAGGTACGCAGCCCAGCCCAAAGCTCCCGGCTGCTGAGCCCCTCTGTGCCAGCAGCAGCCTGACAGACCTCCTTCCCCTCCTTCCCTTCAGCACAGGTCAGCTGAAGCTCCTGCACAGCTCCCTGGGGTGAGCACAGTGGAACAGGACAGGGCGGCTGTGCTGCCATGTCCTCACGTAGCCCTCCCTGAGCTAATTGGCTTTCGACACCAAGTGGATTTCAGGGCTTTGTGAGGGAGACCCATCTGTGCCCTGTCCTGCCGAGGGCTGTGTGGGGCCTGGGCTCTGGCCCCATGTGGAACAGGCACCAAGATGCGCCACCTGGTCAGAACAGGGAGCCTTGCAGAGCACACTGGCACATGCTCCAGCCGCCGGGAGCCACCCGCCAGTGACATGGTGGCAGCTGGCACAGGTTACAGTGCAGCGCCTGCACAGCTGCAGTGCCATCCCTCCATGCTGATGGCTGCTCTCCTTTTAGCAGAACATCCTCTGGAAAGCTCCAGTTAAACATTTCCTTGGAGCTCCTTCCCCCAGGGCTGTTGCAATCACTGCCGGCGCCCCAGGCCAGCCGGCAGCCGAGCGCAATCCCCAGCGCGCTCTTGCAGAGTATCACGATGCTGCTAACTGCACTGTATCCTGGAGCAGGCAGGCTCCCTCCCTAGAGCTATGTTTATCTCATTACTGTGCTTCCGCTCATTTTGCCTTATTTACCTTTCTCCTTTTTAAAGAAATCACTTTAAAATGTGCATCTGCAGGCTCTACCTTCGCGTTCCTGGAGCTCTCCACAGACATCTCCTCCAACTGCCTGCAATTACCCTGATTTCCCACACCTGCCAGTGACCTCCTTGTTAATAACATTATTTTGCTCTTGTTTAGCTCCTCACAGCTTTCAGGTGTGAAGCGTGAGCTGCTGGAGGAGGGAGGCTCCGCACGGCGCCTGCTGCTCCTCCCCGTTCCGACCGGCTCCGCTCCTGCTCTGCCCAGCTCTGCCCAGCTCTGCCCAGCTCTGCCCAGCTCTGCCCAGCTCTGCCAGCTGCCAGGGCCCTGCTCTGCCGACAGAAGGCCTACAAAGGGAATGGGGCTGGGGATCAATATCCCACCTAGGCCTCCAAACAAATCTGACTGTTCCTATAAACCCCCCTCCTAATCCCTGTGTGCCTGCCTCCCGGCAGCCTGTAGAGCAAGCAGCCCACCTGGCTGTGGGGACTGGCTCCAAGCTCTGGCAGCAATGTGGGTGTCTGAGGGAGGGAAAACAAGTCCAGTCTTTGCACTA